TACTTGGTGAAGGAGTCCATCAGCTATCGCATCCAGGAAAATCTGAGCCCTATTATTATTACTAGCACTTGTCCTCCAGTCTATATCTGGGAAGTTAAAGTCTCCCATGATCATACAATTCCCATTAGTATTTACTTCTTTAAAAACATTAAAGAGGTCTCTATCCATATCCAAATTGGATCCTGGCGGTCTTTAGCACACCCCAAGCACTATCCCAGAGCAGGCTCTAGTAGCTTTCTTCCCCACTGTGATTTTGGATAAGACAGAGTCTGTCTTATCCATTCCATCACTTCTTATTTCTTTGCAGTCTACCTCATCACTGATATACAATGCTACTCCACCACCTTTGCCTTTATTTCTCTCTTTGCTAAACAGCACATACCCTTCAATACCTGTAGTCCAGTGGTGACTACTATTCCACTATGTTTCTGTTATCCCTGTAATATCTGGTTTCACTTCCTGCACCAGTAGATCTAGTTCCTCCATTTTGTTACCTAGACTCCTCGCATTAGTGTACAAACATCTTAATTTTTGCTGTTTGGTTTCGCTCACATTCTTTACCCAATTGGGCACAGACATTCTACCGTCAATATTACCTATTGGATTGGTATGTACACTGCCCTTCCGCCTTATGTCCATTCTACCCACGGCTGTATCCTTTCTTACTTCATTTTCTTCCCTCTCAAAGAGAAAATATGGTGTGGAGATTACCTAGACATCTCCCAACCATCTCCCCCGAATTCCTAGTTTAAAGCTCTCTTGATCAGTTGTGCCATCCTAGAAGTCTATTTCCCTCCTTACTCAGGTGAAGTCCATCCCGAGAGAACAGTCCTCTGTCCATGAATGCTTCCCAGTGAGCATACATCCCAAAACCCTCCTTTATAGCACCACTGCCTGAGCCATCTGTTGATCATCATAATCTTGTCACACCTTTGTTGCCCTTCTCTAGGAACAGGCAGAATCCCACTGAAGATCACCTGAGCCTCGATTTCCTTAAGCGTCTTCCCCAGCCTGGCACAGTCTCCCTTGATACGTTCCAGTGAGAATCTAGCCGTATCATTTGTTCCCACATGAAGGATAATCAATGGATTCTTTCCCGCTCTCCTTAGGATCCTCTTCAGCCTCAGGTCCACATCCTGTATCTTAGCACCCAGCAGACAGCACACCCTTCTGTTCTCTGGATCAGCTCTTGTTACAGGCCTGTCTGTTTTTCTCAGTAATGAGTCCCCAACCACATAGACCTGCCTTTTCCTGGCAATAGTGCGATTCTCCAGTCTATCCCCTGTTCCATCTGGCTGCAAGTCCTCTCGATTCCTATTGTTCCTTGCAATCCTCTGCAACCCATCCTGTATCATCCTGGGGCTCATATTTGGTGTTATCTCCATTGACTCTTGCCCTTGTCCTATAGGACTATCTGCTCATCTGTGTATTAGTAGCAGAACAGAGTGGTACAGAAATGCTTAGCTGATTGGAGGTCTTGACTACTCTTCCCTGTTTTAAGACAGCTGAAGAACTGAAGAGCCTCATACCTAGGAATATGCAGCAGAGTAGTGGAATGTTTTGCTGACGCTCTGCCAGTTTAATCTTATTTATTACCTGATGAGAGTGATTAAAATCACAGTGGGGATTCTGCCATGCGGAGGCTCTGCTATGGCATAACTGATTAGTCTCTGAATTCTCCAATCCTAAAATTTCACGAGAGTAGTTGGTGACATAAAATCATATTACGGATGGACTGTTAACTGTCATACGCCATCTCTCTAGAGCTAAGGCAGAATCAAGGCTACCAGTATAAGCTAGACTTTTCTACATTTAAACCAATCCACCTGAAATTCCACAGGCATGAATTTGTGCCAAGATAGAATTTCTGTGGAAATATTGAGTCAAATTGGAGAAAACAATTGATGCTCAAAAAATGTGGTGTCTTCATTTTTCTAATGTTGTAGTGTCATTTTGGGGGTATACTATATATATATATTTAAGTTCGCTATATCAACTGGATCACCCTTGTCCACATGCTTGTTGATACCTTCAAAGAATTCTAATAGAGTTCCTTACATCTCTCAGCGCAAGGCAGATTTTCCACTCCTCAGTTCCTTCTTGTGGCTCTTCTCTGAACTACAATTTTTAAACTTTTGTTTTTTTAAAAGTGTGGACACCAAAACTAAATACAGTATTCCAGTGGTGGTCTCGTACTAGTGTTCTATACAGAGGTAACCTCCCTATTCCACTGAGTCTTTTTCTGAGTCACTGCTTTTCAAAGGTATGTCTATACCGTGGAGTCTGTAGTGGCATAGCTGTGTTGGCATAACTGAGCCAGCACAACCTCCTACTGTAGGTGCAGCCTACATAGACTTTTTTTTTTTTTTTCTTTCCTGTCTGTGTAGGAACACCACCTGCCCAAACTACGTTAGCTACACTGATCAAAGCCTTCTTCTGTTGACATAGTTGAACCAACGCAGGGGGTTTTGTCGGCATAGCTGAAAAGCAAGGTTGTGGGTTTTTTGTTTTGTTTTTTTCCCCACACCTTTGAGTGACATAGCGATACCAACCTAACTTTAAAGTATAGACCAATCCTAAGATAAATATCCCATCCAGAAAGTAAGGGGTACATTCTTTGTTCAGAAATGTATTTAGGTATTAAAATTCATGCTCTTTGTTTTGGCCCAGTGTACTTGTGGATCCAGATTGTTCTGTTTAAGTGACCTGCCGTTATCATTATTTACCACCCCAGAATCTTGCTGTCTGCATACCTTATCAGCACTGATTTTATATTTCCTTCCAGGTCACTCCTAAAACCTATTAAATAGCAGTGACTCAAGCATCCACCACAGGGGAAAAAATACTGGGTATTAAAGGTCTCTTTATAGTAGTGGAGAAAAGCAGAACAAGAACCACTGTCTGGAAGCAGAGGCCAGACAAATTCAAATCCGAAGTAAGGCACGTACTTTTAACCGTGAGGTTGATTTAACCACCTGAACAAACGGAGGGTAGCAGTGGATTCTCCATCTCTTGATGTCCTCATATCAAGACTGGTTGTATTTCTGGAAGATATGCTTTAACCAAACACAAGGTACAGGGCTCAATACAGGAGTAACTGGGTGAAATTTAATAGCCTGTGGTAAACAAGTTCAGACTAAATGATCTGGTGGTAGACCTTAAGTTCTATGAATCTGATCGCTGTGGGACCACACTAGAAACACTTGCAATTGATGATTCCTCACTATTGGTTAGAAAATAAATATAGCATATTTTTAATGGATTGAAAACTGGCTGTTATGCCAAATTTTTAAAATCAGAAAGTCAGGCAGTCAAATGCCTTACAGAAGTCCAAATATACATCATCAGCACAGTTTCCTTCATCAGCCAAATTTGTAATCTTAAAAAATTACAAAGTTAATTTGACAAAACCTTTCTGCCATGGTCAACCATGTTTGTTGGCATTAAACACATTACCATCCTTTAGTTTTTTGACTGTCTCAGATCAGCTGTTCCATTATTTTGGCTGGGATTGATGTCAGGCTAACAGGCCTATATCTACCTGGTTCATGCCATTTACCGTTTTTTGGCATGACATTTGCTTTCTTCCACTCATCTGTAACTTCTCCAGTCTGACACTTTTTAAAAAAAACAAACTCTCTTCTGGAGTATTAGAATTCTATTAGAGGGATATCATTTTCTGAACTCTATAGGTTAGTTTTTAAAAGATTATTGTCTCTATTAAATTCTGTATGTCTCTGTTTATAGAAAACTCGCCTACAAATTTTGTACCACAGAGGCCTATTCAGCATCTGTATCCTTAATACCAACACTGCTCACTTTTGTAGGGGTCCACTGTAACTGAAATAGTAAATTTCAGTTGTATGATCTTTAATGTTTAGCCCAACCTGAGACCGTTGACTCATTGTTGATATTTGAAGTATTTACAACACAAATCCTTTAATTCTTCTTCTTTGCCCTCCATGGAGGGCATTTGGAAGATCAAGATGACTGGCCTTGTAGGGAACTGTACCTCCTTAAGAGTTAACAGTAGGCCAGGCTGCAAATGTTCAGTAGCAAGTGATATAGCTGCAGATGTTGGGTGTATCTAGATAAGATATACTAAAATTTGCAAGAAAGTCTCTACAGGGCAACACTTGCATGGTATAAATAAACCTCCATCTTCAGTTAAACCCTCTTGAGAACTGTTCCAGAAGACAGTAGGAAGTGAAGTTTTAGATTTCTACCAAGAGCTGCTCAGATTTTCCCAGGGGCATAAATTGCTGGTGAACATATTGGAGACAGCTGACATGAAATCTGTATTCTAAAAATGTTTCTAATTGCAGCTAGCATTTCCAAACCCAGTGCTGGAGGAAGCCATCTTGCTGAAAAGTTTAATATATGGTGCAGAGTGTTGAAGCCCAATGGAAAAAAAAATATAAACCAGTTTTGATGCATCCCCATCCCCAAAAGCTCAACTCTTTCACAGTTTAATCTTGCTTTTTACCCTGAAAACTTTCAGGATGTGCCCAAACTAGAAAAAAGGTGGTCTACCGTGTGTTAACATGGTAAAATCCTAATGTGGAGAAGGCGGTTTGTAGTTTTTACATGGATTAGCAGGTTGCAGTAAGCACTGGGGGAAGCTAGTTGTAAGAAAACACTTCTTTTCCCCTTACTGAAGACAAGATTTGACTGTCAGGCAGAACAAAAGGGATTCGCTATTCCAGTGATCTGAAAATGCAGCATTGTCTAGTGATTAGAGCAACGGACGGAGTGTCAGGAAATCTAGGTTTTGTTCTCAACTTTGCTAATGATTCATTCTGTGGTCTTGGGCAAGCTACCTCTCTCTGTCTGTAAGATGGGGATAGTGCTTTGGGAGGTGCTGGTAAAAAGCATGATACAAATGCTAGTTTCTTGACAGTAGATTGTATGGATTCTTGTTTATCAGCATGACAAGAGATATCAATAGATTAGAAGCTAAGGTCTCTGATAATGATTTTGGCCTCCCTTTGCTTCATGAGGTTTGAGCTGATCGATGCTGCGCGAAATAAATTGCGTGTGAAGATCAGCTACCTGATGATTGCCCTGACAATGCTGGGATGCATCGTGATGGTCATTGAAGGAAAGCGGGTGAGTACAGTATTGGATAGTTGACTGGAGCTGAACCTTATCACACAATCCTCAGATCTCTCTTGAGATCAGTAATGAAGTAACAACAAATACTACTTAAAGCAATAAATAAAAATTAAAATGAACACTCTACGACTCCCCCAAAACTCACCCAGCACCAAAATGTGCCCTCCCAGGAGAGACCGAGAGCTACATTTCTTACAAATGCAGCAGTTCTGCCTCTGTGGGAATGTGCACACTTCTACTTTATCCCTTCATATGTGTGTACTTTGCTGAGGTAGCACTCCTGGAAGTGCATACATAGGAGGTGAGATGCTGTGCAACTTCTGTTGTTACAACTTCACTGGGATTTGAGGATGCCTGTCATTTCCTGGTGGTGGGTCCATAAAAAGAGGTACTGCGGTGTGTTCTCAGGTACCTCTAATAAGTCATCCTGAGAGGAGTTTAGGGATGAGGACCCTCCCAATAGATAAATGAGGCAGAAGAGGGTGGTGGTGTTTCCCCTCTGTCATTTAGATGCTGCAGTGATTAGGTTGGTCATCTCTTCAAATTTCTCTGGAGGGTCCATTGTATTTTGGGAGAAAACATAGACAACCTGGGACACTTGATTTAATCCTACATTCAAATAATACTATTTAGGGAGGATGTGGGACCTGGTCACAGAGTAGAAAGGCCCAAATTTAAGTTGCTGTATATGGGCAAAGGGTCTTGCTCCTAAGATGGTCCAGCATGTGCAAGACTATTGATATTGTAAAATGTCAAAGTTCAGCTATGTCTGAGGTATCCTCCACCTTGAAATTAAAAGGTGTACAACACCTTTGCATATTGGGTAAAGTGTTCATTTTTTTTTCAACTTCTCTAAACTAACAAATGACTGAAGGGATTTTCCTTAGACTTTCCAAAAACAAATTCACTTTCTGGCAGAGACCAATGCAGTAAACCCCCAAAGTTATGAGTTAGTACTGTTTAAGAATTGCCCAGGCATCAAGGCTGCTTAGAAAAGTTAAGACAGAAGACTGAGAGGAAAACAAAAAAATATACCTTTAGGTCTAACAGCAAGTATCAGAGGAAACATACAATCACTGCAGCCTTTAATGAGTGCCCTGCAGCCAAAGACTTCCACTCTTTCCCTGTCTGGGAATGAATGTATTAAAACAAAATAAATTAATAGCAGACAGTAAGATGATATATGATGATGCCATGTGCAATAGTGGAAACATAGGGAACTTGATGGAATGTAATATTATGATTAAATGAAGTTATATGTATAAAAGGGACATTGACTGTAAGATAGAGCTTTGGGCAAAATATTGTAAACTTTACTCCGGGGGATTTCTGCACCAGAAAATTAAAATACTGTGTGCAGAATTTTTAAAATTCTGCAAATTTTATTTGTCAAAATAACACTATATAATCACGCTAGTATCAATTATTTTGGTAATTTATTTCAAAATACCTGTCAGCAAGTATGTGTGTAACAATGCAGACACAGAAATAAATTTCTCTAGGAGAGTTAAAGAAATCCCTGTGAACCCAGTTCCTGCTTCTCTGCCCCTTCCCCACCAGACCCCGGGTGGGGGCGGGGGCAGGCAGACAGACAGACCTGCACACCCACCCCTGTACCACCCCCCCGGCCCAGACACTCACCCCCCCCCCCCCCCCGCAGTAAATAAAAAGACCTTAAACCAAATAGTATGTTTTTTATGATGACACTTGATCACAGAATGGAATAATCAGAAGTGTAACTTTGATTAATAGTGCACGGACTCAGCTCAGCTACATGTCCCAGCATCCCACCATTGTTGTGATAACAAAGAGAACAGAAGTGGTAAACTTACATAGCTTTTCTGGCCTGCTGGAGAACAGTCGTTCTTGAAGTGACTTCAGTGATTCAAGAGAATGATTAAAGGATTAAAAACGATGCCATATAGGTTAGTGATAGACTCAAAGAACTCAATTTATGTAGCTTAACAGAGACAACACTGGGGGGAACGTGACTGCGGTTTCATAGGTTCCAAGTCTGCAAGGGGCCACTGTGATCACCTAGTCTGACCTCCTGTGTAACACAGGCCATAGAACTTCCCCAAAATAATTCCTAGAGCGTAACTTCTAGAAAACACATCCAGTCTTGATTTAAAAATTGTCAGTGATGCAGAATCCACCACAACCCTTAGTAAGTTGTTGCAGTGATGCAATGACAGTTTACACTCGCTGAGGATCTGCCCCCAAATATTTGCCATCAGCAGTCCTGGCAAACCACCCCCCCCTTCTAAAGCCTGATCTTTAAATAGAAACAAACAATTGTTGAAGGAAATGTAGATATTTCTGTCTTCCCTTTAATTCAGTCACTGCTTTTTTTTTCTCTCAGAGCTGAAAACTAAAGTCTATAGTAAGCTGTTTCTGTAGGTCTCCTGTCACTCAGATGTTTTATACATAGGGGCTTCATGATTTGCAGTGCAGACAACATGCAAAATCATATTATGGATGTATGCCAAAATGTTGAGGTTTTTATTTCTAAAAACAACTGATATTTTAGTTACTCATGTTTTTTAATAAACTTGTCATAGAAGATTATGGTTGGAAGAGACCTCAAGAGGTCATCTAGTCCAACGCCCCTACTCAAAGCAGGACCAATCCCAACTAAATCATCCCAGCCAAGGCTTTGTCAAGCCAGGCCTTAAAAACCTCTAAGGTTGGAGATTCCATCACCTCCCTAGGTAACCCAATTCCAGTGCTTTACTGCCCTCCTAGTGAAATAGTTTTTCCTAATATCCAATCGAGACCTCCCCCACTGCAACTTGAAATCATTGCTCCGTGTTCTGTCATCTGCCACCACTGAGAACAGCCTAGCTCCATCCTCTTTGGAGCCCCCCTTCAGGTAGTTGAAGGCTGCTATCAAATCCCCCCTCACTCTTCTCTTCTGCAGCCTAAATAAGCCCAGTTCCCTCAGCCTGTCCTCATAAGTCATGTGCCCCAGCCCCCTAATAATTTTTGTTGCCCTCCGCTGGACTCTCTCCAACTTGTCCACATCCTTTTTGTAGTGGGGGGCCCAAAACTGGACGCAGTACTCCAGATGTGGCCTCACCAGTGCTGAATAGAGGGGAATAATCACTTCCCTCCTTTTGATCATTCTGTCAGAAATGGTCCCATTACCCAGAATGCTTTGGATGGGTTTCTAATGTCAATAACAAATGTGTATGATGCTCATGGATCCAGTAATGTTATTCCTAAGCTGTTATTTCAGAGCAGCACTGATGAAATAGTCTGAGAGAAAATATCAGAGCGTATTAGCATTATTATTAATTATGGAACCTACAGAGCTCAGTTGATCAGATCCCCATTGAGTGTGCAAAATCACAATAAAAGCCATTCCCTGCCTGAGTAGCTTGCAGCCTACATTCATGAGGGGACAAGCTCCACAGTCTGGGAAGTAGGACTAGTCGGGTTATGATCCAAAATTTAATTAGTTTTGGCTTTCGGAAGTATTCGTAAACCCAGTCCCACTTACTAATCTATTGGATATATGAAAATATTCAGTGAACTTAGCAGTTCTGTGGAGTACTTGTGAAGTGTCCAGTGTTGGTATTTACCAAGGATCGTGGTGGATTCTCCATCATTGCCTATTTTAAAATTAAGATTGGAAGTTTTGTAAAAGATCTGCTCTAGGAATTATTTTGGGGCAGTTCTATGGCTTGTATTACTCAGAAAGACTAGATGATCACAATGATCCTTTCTGGCTTTGGAATTTGTGAATACATTGTAAAATGTACTGTGAGAGAAGTTTAAAGAGCATCAGAGAATATGGAGGGACTTTGTATAATTTATACGAACGCTAAACTAGATACTTCAGCAGCAAGCAGAGTGTTGATGGAGAAACTGAAACTTGAGCAAGCACAACTGCAAAGATGGACAAAGGATGCACCACAAAAGGACTCACGGGAAGCGACTGATGGCAGTAAGATGATGACCAAAGCAAACCTGTCCGAGTTCAGGGTCTGTCCCAAGATGGTTGTATCAAAAGCTATGCCCTAACTTGTCATATACAAGCTGGTCTGACAAGATGTTTTGAACAAAAATACTAGAAAATTCCAGCTCCAGTTACAAGAACTCAAAAGGTGGTGTCTTGGTCCCTGACTGGATGGTGAGAGAGGAGGATTCTTATTTTGGTTGGATATTTTCAATCTTTGGAAGAAATAGTGGTCACCATCTGACTGGTCCACAGCAGGACCTCCAAGAAGATGAACTAAGTTGGATCACCCAGCAGAAATAGGATAAAACTGCTTGTTTCCTTCAGCACATCACTTCCAAAACCCCAAAGTCACCAGGAAAGGAGAAGACTGAGGTCCTTGATTGGCCAGCTGGGGGGAGTCCTGGTGACATCAAGTATCTGTCTCAGATAGGCACTTTTATGTGCGTCTCTTTTCCAGGGTTGCCTACTATGGCACCAGAAAGCACTGTAGTTATGGCTGTTCTTCACTTACCTGTGATTGCTGTGAATAGAAACTGAGCTGAAAAAACAAACACACTCTCTCTCTCTCTTTTTATTGGGTGACTACTCAAATCAGTTAATTTACCACTTCCTGAAACTGGGTACCTAATTAATAAGGAAGTATATGTGCTGTTGTGATTTAAAGATTGTCAGCGTTACAGTGTGTGTTCTTGTTTTGTAACAGGTTCAAATCAAGATTGATGTAAAGTAGCTTTTAAACTGAATAAGTTCCTGTTAACTAAGATTGTAGGACACTGTACCTGTGTCTACCATATTTAAAGGATTCATGCTGCCTTTCAACTTCTAGGTGCACACAGCCATAAAGCAGACCAACATTCAAGCCTCTTAAACAGCACTCAATCTATACAGTCTTCATAAATGTAGTTTTACATAGTTAGGAGTGTTAGTCAGATCCTGGAACTAATATCCTTCATTGGTAAGTAGGTTAACAGGGTTGACTACTCATAGATCTATCAGGATGGAGACCTTGGTGAATTGGCATGGAAGTAACTGACCAAATTATCTTTGACTTTTGCTTTGACTCCCCGCCCCGTGTTAGCAGCACTGGAGTTGATAACCAATTGGCACAAGTGAGGCCCTATTCTGAGGGGCTCTTTTTCAAAAATCTAACCAAAGTCACCTTCCCACAATAGAAAATAACACTTATACTCACTAGTGTGGTTGTGAGATTTAATTCTGAACACCTAAATGTTTGTTTTCACCAATTTTCTAGCTTGTTAGCTAAATCATAGTTCAATATTCATTTTATAGCCCCTACCAAGGGAGGCAATAGGCGGACTCTGACCCAAACCTGTATCGCCAGGTGGTTTTCAGTGGACTGTGCGGGCAGAGGTGATGCACGGGCAGGGCATGCGGGGGTCGCAATTCCCCTCCCCCCGCGACTGCTCTGGATGCCTCTGGAGGATATGCCCAGAAGTGAGGAGACATCATGTCCCAGCAGCTATACTCTGTGTGTCCGTGCAGCAGAGTGGCTGGCTGAGCTCCCCCTCGCCCCCAACTACATGTCGTCTCTGTGCTCGGGCTGAAGCCGAGCTGGGGCTGAAGCCATGCAGAACCGTGTGTGTGTGTGTGTGTGGCTGGAAATGGATTGGAGCACACCCTCCTGCCACCCCCAAGCAGTCCCCGGAGCCCACCCTCCCCAACCTCATGCTCCCCCCACCTGTGAACAGTCCCCAGAGCCCCCCACGCTGGCCTCATGTCCTCCCAATCTCTCATCTCCAGAGCCCTCTCCAGCTGCCCTGCCCCCACTGGCCTCTTTCCCTCCCCAGTCCACCTCCAGTCACCTACTTGCACCGCATCCTGTCCTCCCCACATCTCCCCAGGGCTTCTCTCTGGAGTCTTCTTGCTGGTTCCTGCCACCCAGAACCTCCTTCCTACCCCTCTGCTGTCCCAGCCCCCAAAGGGGCATCACATAGCTAGCTGGATCATAGTCCAGCAACTTCACCTCCTGGCTCTGAGCTCAGAAGTACTCACACACACGCACCCTGCTTTGCTGACCAGATCCCAGCCCATACCCATTCCTCTCTCCCTCCTCCTCCTTCCTCCCATCTCTGTTACTTGACTCAACTGGGGGCATGGAAGAATGTTTTCTGGGGGAGGGGGCAATCAGCAATGCTAGGGAGCTCAGGTCAGCCCCATGGATCCCATTTTCAGTTTAGGCAAATAAGGTCACCTTACTTTCTGGGCTGGGAGCTGGCAGATGATGGGGAAGCTTGGGAGAGCAGTCATGGGGGCGAGGGGAGGGCAGGGGAGCTAGGTATGGGGGGGGTCGGTCTGGACCTTGACTATACCATTACCAAGAAATTTGGACCTTGACAAAAAATAATTGACGACCACTGTCCTATACTATTAGTTGCTTCTGTTAACAATACTGAGTAAAACTCTCCAAAATTTAAAATTCAGCTTTCAGGTCAGCTTCTTTAGTTAAGCAATTAAAAGATCCCTAAGAACAGTGGTTCAGATATGCTTACACCAACCAAAAGCAGTTTCAACCCTAGAGGTGAACATTTGGGAGAGTTATGAGTGAGTGGGAAGGGGGATTAGAATGGAAGCTGTTCTTAACTGTAGCAGCAGTTGCTACTAGAATATGGACTATCTACCTTTACTTTATTTCCAAATTCTCCTGGCTTTCGACGAAGAAAGAAGTTTATTATCATTGAACAGAAAAAGGGAAAGCATCTGCCAGAGCCATCAGTATATTGGATTAATTCAGCCCTAAGGAAATAATGAACTTAAACCAAAAGAATTCCAGGATTTTGTGCCTTCAGAGTTTATTTTAACCCTCTAGCTCTTCCTAGCATTAAAGCTGGCATATTACAAAAGAGTATCTAGGCATGAGAGCTGTATCTCTGTAAGGGAGTATTCTTCAGAGGTATAGCTCAGACTACCAGATGGTTTGTTCATTGCTTGTTCAAACTTCATCTCTACAGTACCATAAGTAACATGTTTGCTCTCTATCATACTATTGTAGGCTGTCGGAAGGCATGAATCCCTTACAACCCAAAACATGGAAAGAAAAGCTCGCTGGAGAGATGAGGTTGCTCAGAGTGCATCTGCCAAACCCTAGGAGAGGGAGGAGACCTGGGAAGGAGGATACAAAACATACAAATGCTTTCTTCGTTGATGAGCGAGTGGTAGATCTTTATGTGTTTTGCTTTTATGTTATAATCCTCTGCTGTTATGCTTTAGGAAAGACAAATAAATTATTTTGTAGTAATACTAAAAATCTGTCTTGACTTTTTTATTGGGCTATCACCAAAATGCCGATTTTGAACAGCTTAAAAGAACAAGGAAAGTGCTAAAACTGAGCAGACGCTGTAGTTGCTTTTCATACAGAATGTTCAGTGCTTCTATTTCCTCATTGTAGTAATACTGCCATATCCTTCTAGGATGGACTTGATTTACTCTCCTCCCCTAGTGTCATAACCAAGTAAAGATAGGTTTTCATCTCTTACAGGCAGAGATTCTTTCCTATAATCTGTCTGTTCCTCTGAAAGTTCAAGAGGAAATTTTTCATCCCACAGTGAATGTTGGTGTTCAGAGACTTTAGGTGCCTAGCTGTCACTGTGAAGCTACAACAGACTTGGGGACAGAGCTTGGATTATTTAGTTTATTTCTTTACTGCTTGGATACCATGCTGTGGCACCCACTCACTCTTACCTAATGACTAGGAAGCTGCCTCCAAGCCTGACTCCCCTCTCCCAGACCATGGGGATCAACTTCCAGAGGGGGACTTGCCTATAAGCGCTCTCCTCCCTCATAGTAGGGCACACACTGGCAATAGAACTGGCTGCCTGCTGAACCCTCCTAATAGGGCTAATGGGGGGGAGGGAGAGGGGAAAGTAGGCCAGCTAAAGAAGCTGGCTAAAGCCCTGGAGTTGGCCTAAACCCCAGCTCTAAGCAGGCATGCTGGGGATCTCCGGTCTGAAGGAAGGAGATACTGACTGCCGTAAGGCAAGCTGCAGAGAGACTGCTTGAAATACAGTGCCAGGCCAAGGGACCTCCTGTGGGAAGGAGGAAAATACCAACTGCTGTAAGGTGAAAGTGAGAGAGCAGCTGTGTGAAATAAAGCCCAGCTGCTGCCACACCCTCCTGGCTATTCTACAAACTCCTGATCCAGGAAAGGTTTTCTTTCCTATTAAGTAGAGTCAGAGAAGCCTCTTGGGCAGACTCTGGTCTGACACCCCTGTGATGGGCTCCCCCTGGGGTACCACCTGGACTGGAGTACCACTGAGCCCTCTGACCCACCAGCCTGGTTGTGTGTCACACTGCTGCTGTGACAAGCTGCACAGCCCTCCAAGCTTGCACTTTCACCAGCATTCACACAGGTAGGGACACACCCAGCTGCGGTTACATACAGGCTCTCTAACTCCCAGCCTAGGACCCCAGAGCAGTACCGTCCTGCCCTGCTCAAATCTGGCCAGTATATGGGTTTAACACCCTGTCTGCCCCTCTTTCAATGTGACGAGGACCATGCACACTTGTGGTAACCAAGCAGAGATTTTCCCCAAGCACTCCAGTCAAAGCTCACTGGTTTGGATTAAAACAAAAATAAGTTTATTAACTACAAAAGAGAGATTTTAAGTGATAGCAAAGCAGATTACCTAGCAAACACAAAATGCAAACTAAGCTTAATATACTAAACAGATTGGCTATGAATAGCAGATTCTCACCCTAACTGATGGTACGGGCAGGCTACCAATGCTTAAGGGGCAAACTACACTTGCTTTGCAGCTTGGAATCCCCAGGTGTTTCATACACAGGCTAGAAATCCCTTTACCCTGGATCCAACACTTCCCCCAGTTCAATCTTTGTTCCTCAGGTGTTTCCAGGAGTCTTCTTATGGGAGGAGTGAAGAACGATGGATGAGGTCACTCCCTGCCTTATATAGCTTTAGCATAGGGAGGGAACCCTTTGTTTCAAAACTTGGTTCCCAGACCGGTTTGTGGAAAAATACTGACATCCCAAGATGGAGTCCAGCATCACGTGGTCTGAGCACATGTCCCTGTAGAGTCATAGCAGCCATTACTGAAAGGCTGCCTGTAGCATTCTCAGGAAGGCTCACCAAGTGGGAGATAAGCTTCTCATAAGGCCCATTGTTTTCCCTAATGGCTCATTGCCCTGAGTAGGCTCTTCCAAATTAGCTATCTAGACTGAAAGCATCTTGTCTAGTGGGCGTTACCCAGGTGTAGCTACATTTGAAGTACAGAAACATAGTATTTATAACTTCAGATACAAAAATGATACATGCATACAAACATGATAGTCATATTCAGCAAATCATAACTTTTCCAATGATACCTCACATGAATTATCTGGCACAAAATGCATCATAATTATGCCATAACCATATTAGAATAATGTTACTAAGATGACTATGGGGTGCAGTGTCACAACCCCCAGCTGCTGAGTGAGTGGATAGGTGGTATCAGGCTCCCCAGCAAGTTTTCAAGCATTTCTTTACTCGTCCAGTTCCTGATTCTCTGGCAGCAGCAGCTGGAATGAGCACTCTTGCCAAACCCATCCTAAATCCACTCCAAATGATAAGGAGTTTAGGAAGCTAGACTCTATGGCTGTAAACTTTACTGCCACACTCCAAATGAGAGTTGCCAACTATCGGTTCTTTTATCTAAATACAATTTTATTAATTTCTCTGCTATATCCAAGTTTGCTGATAAACTACCCAAGAAATTTTGAGACCAGCTTTTTATTTTGGTATCTGAGGGCCATCTTACAGCCCTCAGATACCAAATATATCCCTCCAGGCTGTAATAGATGTGGGTGATACTGTCACTAGTTCTGTGGTCCCTGCAGTCTCCATGCAGCATTCCTCCTGGTTGCAAGCTTCTGGCATCCAAAAGTTGCTGCAGACCACAATAGAGGACTTAGACCATTCTATATTATTTTCTGAAAAAAATAGATGACGCCATTCACATGTTACGATTCTTGTGCAACACTTCACTCTTTAGGGGTTTTACACCCCAGTTATGAAAAGAAAGCAATTTTAGGCGGGCGTATCACTGTAGCTCCTCTTTCCAATACAGACCTCACTATCCCCCTAAGAAGAGGTCAAGACATCCTGGACATCACCATCTGTGTTTGATTGAAGCATTCTCATCAGATGTTTATGACTTCAAAGCAGTCATTTTGACTTTTGATGAAGGACAATGTACCAACAATATATTCTCCTTTTGGATCATGCCTATCCCTCTTTTTTCCATGCTTGACAAAACATCATATTAAACAAGTGGGTACTCGCTAAAGGAGAAATGTGTTGTCCAATTCCTTTTCCTTCCTCTTCCCAACCCTCCTTCCCCATTCCTCTTCAGGGACAGCTCTTATGAGACAGTGTTATTTCAAGAGCTACGGTCTCTTCTGTAATTGGGAGCAATAGAGGAATTTCCTCACCAGCACAGAGGGAAAGGCTTCTATTCCTGATACTTCCTGATTCTGAAAAAATCTGGGGGGCCTCCATCCTATTCTAGATTTAAGAAAGCTGAACCAATTCATCAAAAAGACCAAGTTCAGGATGGTCATCCTTGCTTCTGTCATTCCTTATCTGGAGATTGGTGTGCTGCCCTCGCCTTTACAAGATGAATAATTCCATGTCACAATACATCCCTCCCACAGGAAATACCTTCTATTTGTTAAAAGAAAAGGAGTACTTGTGGCACCTTAGAGACTAACCAATTTATTTGAGCATAAGCTTTCGTGAGCTACAGCTCACTTCATCAGATGCATACTGTGGAAACTGCAGAAGACGTTATATACACAGAGACCATGAAACAATACCTCCTCCCACCCCACTCTCCTGCTGGTAATAGCTTATCTAAAGTGGTCACTCTCCTTACAATGTGTATGATAATCAAGTTGGGCCATTTCTAGCACAAATCCAGGTTTTCTCACCCTCCACCCCCCCAAACTCACTCTCCTGCCGGTAATAGCCCATCCAAAGTGATCACTGTCTTTACAATGTGTATGATAATCAAGGTGGGCCATTTCCAGCACAAATCCAGGTTTTCTCACCCCCATACACACACAAACTCACTCTCCTGCTGGTAATAGTTCATCCAAAGTGACCACTCTCCCTACAATGTGCATGATAATCAAGGTGGGCCATTTCCAGCATAAATCCAAGTTTAACCAGAACATCTGGGGGGTGGGGGTAGGAAAAAACAAGGGGAAGTAGGCTAATTTGCATAATGACTTAGCCACTCCCAGTCTCTATTTAAGCCTAAATTAATAGTATCCAATTTGCAAATGAATTCCAATTCAGCAGTTTCTCGCTGGAGTCTGGATTTGAAGTTTTTTTGTTGTAAGATAGCGACCTTCATGTCTGTAATTGCGTGACCAGAGAGATTGAAGTGTTCTCCGACTGGTTTATGAATGTTATAATTCTTGACATCTGATTTGTGTCCATTTATTCTTTTACATAGAGACTGTCCAGTTTGACCAATGTACATGGCAGAGGGGCATTGCTGGCACATGATGGCATATATCACATTGGTGGATGTGCAGGTGAACGAGTCTCTGATAGTGTGGCTGATGTTATTAGGCCCTGTGATGGTGTCCCCTGAATAGATATGTGGGCACAGTTGGCAACGGGCTTTGTTGCAAGGATAGGTTCCTGGGTTAGTGGTTCTGTTGTGTGGTATGTGGTTGTTGGTGAGTATTTGCTTCAGGTTGGGGGGCTGTCTGTAGGCAAGGACTGGCCTGTCTCCCAAGATTTGTGAGAGTGTTGGGTCATCCTTCAGGATAGGTTGTAGATCCTTAATAATGCGTTGGAGGGGTTTTAGTTGGGGGCTGAAGGTGATGGCTAGTGGCGTTCTGTTATTTTCTTTGTTAGGCCTGTCCTGTAGTATCAATCTGTTTGATAGAGCCAGAAGAGTTCCCAGAAGTCACCTACTACAGGACAGGCCCAACAAAGAAAGTATCAGAACGCCACTAGCCATCACCTTCAGCCCCCAACTAAAACCTCTCCAGCGCATCATCAAGGATCTACAACCTATCCTGAAGGATGACCCATCACTCTCACAGACCTTGGGAGACAGGCCAGTCCTTGCTTACAGACAGCCCCCCAACCTGAAGCAAATACTTACCAGCAACCGCACACCACACAACAAAAACACTAACCCAGGAACCTATCCTTGCAACAAAGCCCGTTGCCAACTGTGCCCACATATCTATTCAGGGAACACCATCAAAGGGCCTAATAACATCAGCCAC